CAATCCACACCATCCTCCAGATCATTTATGAAGATATTGAACAAAACCGGCCCCAGGACCGACCCTTGGGGCACTCCACTTGATACCGGCTGCCAACTAGACATGGAGCCATTGATCACTACCCGTTGAGCCCGACAATCTAGCCAGCTTTCTACCCACCTTATAGTGCATTCATCCAGCCCATACTTCCTTAACTTGCTGACAAGAATACTGTGGGAGACCGTGTCAAAAGCTTTGCTAAAGTCAAGAAACAATACATCCACTGCTTTCCCTTCATCCACAGAACCAGTAATCTCATCATAAAAGGCGATTAGATTAGTCAGGCATGACCTTCCCTTGGTGAATCCATGCTGGCTGTTCCTGATCACCTTCCTCTCATGCAAGTGCTTCAGGATTGATTCTTTGAGGACTGCTCCATGATTTTTCCAGGGACTGAGGTGAGGCTGACTGGCCTGTAGTTCCCAGGATCCTCCTTCTTCCCTTTTTAAAGATGGGCACTACATTAGCCTTTTTCCAGTCATCCGGGACTTCCCCGGTTCGCCACGAGTTTTCAAAGATAATGGCCAATGGCTCTGCAATCACAGCCACCAATTCCTTCAGCACTCTCGGATGCAACTCGTCCGGCCCCATGGACTTGTGCACGTCCAGCTTTTCTAAATAGTCCCTAACCACCTCTATCTCCACAGAGGGCTGGCCATCTCTTCCCCATTTTGTGATGCCCAGCGCAGCAGTCTGGGAGCTGACCTTGTTCGTGAAGACAGAGGCAAAAAAAGCATTGAGTACATTAGCTTTTTCCACGTCCTCTGTCACTAGGTTGCCTCCCTCATTCAGTAAGGGGCCCACACTTTCCTTGGCTTTCTTCTTGTTGCCAACATACCTGAAGAAACCCTTCTTGTTACTCTTGACATCTCTTGCTAGCTGCAGCTCCAGGTGCGATTTGGCCCTCCTGATTTCATTCCTACATGCCCGAGCAATATTTTTATACTCTTCCCTGGTCATATGTCCAACCTTACACTTCTTGTAAGCTTCTTTTTTATGTTTAAGATCCGCTAGGATTTCACTATTAAGCCAAGCTGGTCGCCTGCCATATTTACTATCCTTTCGACTCATCGGGATGGTCCCTCCAGTCTCTCCCCCAGCCCTTGGCTCACTGTAGCTGCCTCTTTGTACGTTGTTGTCTTCTAGGCCGGCGAGCAGAACTGCATTCTAGGTACGCTTGCAGCAAGGCACTCGAAGTTCCCTGGCTGTATTTGTGACATCCTGTCTGCTTCAGTCTAGAAATAGCACTGGTGTCTCGAGCAGCCTCTGACTGCAAGTTCTTGTTTAGTTTGCTGTGTACAGCCACTTCCAGCTCTGCCCTGGCCTGGTGTCTGTTCCCCTTCCTGGGCAAAGGACGTTTGTAACAGCCAGTGCTTGGACAGATGCTTAATGCAGGTGGACAAACTTCGTCATCCCCTGGGGTGGGGGAAGCTTAGGCCTGGAAGCCAAGTGAGTGTCTGTGGATGAGGGTCAGAGCTAGAATTAAAACCCAGGGATCCTAACTCCCACGCGGGGACACTCAGATGTTCAGATGGCCGGGATTTGGGATGGCTGGGCTGGAGGCATTGGGCCACATGCCCTGTGCTCAGGGGCTGTGGAGGCGGCTACGTGCTGCCTACCTGGTGCTGGGCTGGCTGGGGGCTAGTCTCCCCAGCCGGTGGGTCACCTGCTGCCCATGGGGTGACGTTGGGGTTAGTAACCTGTAGTTGATTTTCCTCCGCTTCTAGCCCATGCAGAACAGGGTAACAAACTTTGTTCCCAGTTCATGAATTCGATGCTGGTCATTCACTGACCATATACTTATTTCAGCCCCATCTTCCACTCTATCCTGATCGGCCCTAGGTCCTCACATCATGCCTAGCCCCAGGGAATCGGGCCTGAGCCCTGTGTTACATCATCTGGCTTCTTGCTGGGGCTCGCCTGCTGCCAATTTGACTTTATTGGTTTGGGTTTTTTTCTCTCTCTAATTAAATTGGCCTTTCTTAATCTATGAAATCCCTTCAGATGGTGGCAAAACCCAGCCAGATCCCTCCCTGCTACTTGATCTCACCGGCCTTTCTCAACTCCCCACTAACGATTCTACAAACCTCCATGGCCGCCTGCTTTTGGGAAGTGATCTCTCGGGAGCTGAGCGAGCCCAGCTCACAGACATCCCAGGAGGGTGTCAGTGGCAAACTCCAGCCAGCTGCCTGGGTCAGCTTTTATAGGCATCCAGGCCCCATGACGAAGGCAGCAAGAGAATGTAAGGTAGTGGGCATGTTGCTGTGACCTCCTGCACAGGAGAAACGTGATGAGCTATGTAATAAGGCACCTGTGCCGGTGCTGAGTCTGGCTAACTAAACCTTTCCCCCTGTAGCAAGACAGTTCTGGCGCCAAAGCATCCCAAGAGCACGTTCACCCTGAGTGACATTCTCGCCTGCATAGTGCCCTCCCCAGCCTAGGCTTCATACAGCACAGAAGGATGAGAGGCTGCATCTAGGCTGATGTGCAGCTTCTCGGAGAAAATAAGAGTGCCAAGTGGGATCAGGCCAGGAACTGGAAGGATGGATCTGAATTGAGTTCCGATAAGTGGCAGCTTATTTTCTTCACGGATGACATTAAATAATGCAAAGGAAGGAGATGGAGGGGTGATGTCTTGCTGGACTCTTTGCCTGCTCATGTGGTTTAAACACACGGGCTTTCTTTAAACAAACCAGAAGGGCCATCGTGTTCTTGACTCAGTAAAATACAGTGACTGTTGGGCAGTCTCCAGTCAGTTACTTTCAAATACGGAGAGAAATCTCTAACTTATCTAGATTGAGATGCCTCTTAAAGGGGCCTGATTTTCAGTCTCTTTTGAAAATGGAGGCATCTCCTTTTTAAAACAGTCATTCTTGTTGGTCCTTGTGTGGTTGCTCACAAAGCCCTGGTAGCTGTCTGCACTGGACAGATTTATCCCCTTACAAACCTGGCTGGATGTTTAGTACAAATCTTCCTCCCAGTTCAGCTGTGCGGTTTTGTAACAGACGGAAAAATAGCTTAAGGAAGGAATTGGGGAGGGGTGTCTAACACTTGTGCCTTTATATTTCACCACATCCCTGTCTTCTTACACTGAAGGATTGTAAACCTACAGACTAGATGTGTAAATAATTCAATTAAGCATCACTAAACATGTTTCCTTCATTTTCTTAGTCTGTTGCAAATCTAACTTTCTTGCCCCACTGGCTTTGGAATATTTTGCTGGGATGCAGCATGCTATCAGTGTCAATCCAGCTCAAGAGACTGGATAGGATATTTCACATCCTCTTTAAATAGCCCTATCCTGGGGAAGTGAGCACTTTGGAGGGTTGGATGCACATTGTGATACTAATGAGGTTAGACAGAGCAAGGGCGTACCCCAGCATTAGAGCGAAAAGGGAGCTGGAGAGCCTTATATGCACAGCCTAAGAGGCTTACTTTCTATGGTATTTTGTTTGAAAATGTATTAAACAGCTCTTATGTGTGCATGCTGCATTAAGTAAATCAAGTTCTTCGGAAGGATTATGAAGAATCCAGTCATGGCAGTGATCTTCACCCAACGATTTCTAGAAGATTTTTAATTTCCCTCACGGTGTGGGGAGCTAATGGTTAGAACGGCTTGAAAGCACACTGGCTTAAGGCCGTTGTTAGTTTTTCAGTAAGGCCAGCGTTATGATGTCAGTAAAATAGAGACACAGATGTGTTTTGATGCTGAGTGCGCATCTGCTTCCAGCATTCTACAAGCATGAATCCCTCAGGGCTGGGATTCACAAAGGTCTTAAGGTACTGACTCCTACGGATTTCAAGGGCAGTTAAATAGCATTGGGAATCCCCCCCAGGTAAAATATCTCCCTTTTGCAGCTGGGTAAACTGAGGCACAACAACCAAGCCATTAAACTTCTCCACCTCTACCCCTGGAAGCCTGTCGGCAACAGATCATGTTCAATCCCGCGTATTGGTTGAAAAGTTTTAGGCAGGGGCTGGCTAAGGATTGGGAAAGCTGGGTTCTGTTCTACAACTCTGCTGCTTAGTCACAGGATGATCTTGGGAAAGTCCCTTTAATTTCTTTCACACCAAAGACACTGGGGAGCCCACAGTCTCAGGAAACTGAGGGGCTGAACAGCAGCTCTATAGCCTGGTGTGCATACACTCTAGTTCAGAGCAGGAAAGGACAGCTCAGGTGCTGCTGTGTGTTTCTGCTAACCCTTGCCACGAGAAAGCAGGGAATTCATTACAAATGAGCAGCAAAGACTCAGGCTGGGTGCATGGATGAAACAAAGGTGCCAGATTTGCTGCATCATTAATTCCATCCTTTCAGCATTCTTGTCTATAACCTGGAGCAGCTGCGCTGGAGAATACAGACAGGTGCCAAGGGCAGGATAACATTTGCTTGGGTTGTGGCTGAGGAAACTGAACAAGCAGCAATATCGTGGAGGAAAAGCTGTTGTGGTACAATTAATCTGACTCATAGTGTCTATCATTCTCCGGCAGAGCTGCTCACAACCCCAAGGTGAAGGGGTAGACTGGAGCAGAACCAGCTTCTACTAGTTCATAGTCCCAGGCAGTGGCATAAGTGTTCCATCTCATCCAGGATCTTGTAACTTGCTAACACCCAGTAACCACATGCTAGAGAGGAAGGTACAAGACACAGCAGGGGGCAGCTGCTTGTTCAGTTCTTGTTCAGAACTGAAGTGGAAGTGATTGAACCTTACTTCATCCTAGAAGTGCAATGTCAAAATTCATCTCCACCTACTGCTCTCCCTCCTAGCTGAAGCACAAGGGCCAGCATTAGAATTAAACTCTAACCAGCTTACCCTCCTTATTGCTGTCGCTCTCAAACGTGCAGCAGGCACGACTGTGGTGTGTAATGGTTCTCCTGTCACAGGTAAAAGAACAGCCAGTGGGAGGAGTTGGAGCAGAGCATGGAGTCGTCAGGATTGCTAGGTTCCGTTCTTGGCTCTTACCTTGGGTTAGGATACAGCTCATTCCAGTCAAGTCAGGGTCCAGTGTGCTAGGATGGTTCTTGGTTGCTTTTCCCCATCCATACCAGCTGGATTTCCTCACCCCTATTCCCAAGAATACTGCATCAGGGAGTAGTGATTATGAGTAACCCTCTACATGGCTGTTGCCTTCTCTTCATTCCCCTTTCCTACAGGACCTTCATTCAGAAGCTCTTTGCTGGTAAGAAGCAGTCTCTTGGGGGTCCTGTAACAGGCAGAGTTGATCTGATTAGGCTGGGACTGCATGAGGGGTATCTAATACCAAAAGGGCAAAGGCCCAGTATAGACGCAAGCATGACCAAAAAAAACTATTCTCCTAGCTCTAGGGAGTGAGTGAGGTCTACCTGAGTCCTCTGAATAGGGTGTGGTTAGGTATAAACCATGTATACTGAAACTTTATGCAGCTAGCGTAGACTGACTTGTGTTCAGTGGATTGGTGCTTTGGGGATATTTGGGTAAAATTTTCCACAGCAGCTAAGTCACTCTTGAAGACTGGATGTAAACTTCTAAGTCACTTAGCTGCTATGGAAAATTTTCCCCCTTGTGTCCAGCGGGACAGTCCTTCAACCTCACTGCAGGAGGCTTTAGCATGTTCAACAAAGCAGAAACAAATCAATTAAAAGTGGAGGTTTATGAGAGCAAATGCTGCTGCAGCCTAAGTCTAGTGCAGAGTTGTGGAGAACTCTAGTGGTCATTTCCCTGAACTACAGGTAAAGCTGCAAATGCAGGACAGCCTGCAAGGGTTCATCAGTGAAGGCTCTGGATCCTTCAGAGCACAGGTGGCCAACCTAAGCCTGAGAAGGAGCCAGAATTTACCAATGAACATTGCCAAAGAGCCACAGTAATACATCAGCAGCCCCGCATCCGCTACCCACCTCCAGCCCCCAGTGCCTTAGGTTAAGTTACCATAGGGTCTACACCATGCCGGGGGGGGGGGGGGGTGTTGTTGATGGAAGAAAATCTCCCGTCGATTTACCTTACTCTTCTAGTCAGGGGTAGAGTACAGGGGTCAACTGGAGCGCGATCTGCAGTTGATTTGGTGGGTCTTTACTAGACCCGCTAAACTGACTGCCAGTAGATCAATCTCAGAGCATTGATTCCCCACTGTAGTGTACACCCGCCCTAAGTGTTCCTGAGCCACTACAGGTTGTCTACATTTGAAGTGCTGCAGCTCTAATTAATCTGCCTTCCTGAGAGGCAGTAGCTAGGTCACTTGAAGAATTCTTCTACCAGTTTAATGCTGTCTACACCAGAGGTTAAGTCAGCTTCATTAGGTCAGTCGGGATGTGGATTTTTCACACCCCTGAGTGACAGTACCTGAGTCAACCTAACTTTAGTGTAGAGCAGGTGTTGGATTCCTAAATCACTTTTTGAAAATGGGACTAAGAGTCACTTAAGCACTCTTGAAAACTTTATCCCAGTCTTATTCTGGAGTACCACTGAGGTCACTAAGAATGTAGAGACTCTGAGGAAGGCTTCAGAGCTGGTGTTCACAGTAATAGGATTTTACTTTGAGATTCTTCACAATTCAAGCTTGTAGGGTGAAATATACCTTTGCTAGCTAAAAAAGGCCTTGTCTATACTCATGAAAGTTGATCCAGAATAAGAATTTAAATTAGATTAAGTCCATGGCTGGATGCTCCTATTCTGGAATAAAAGCATCTGCCCATGGAGTTAATTTGGAATGGCTACTTCACGACAACCAAGCCATAACTCTCCGTGCAGACAAACCCTGAGTGAGCAGACTGTGCTGGACAAGGGAAGTTTTTTTTTTTAAAAAAAGACAAGAATGCAGTAGTTTGAAAAATTATTGAAAAATGCAATACAAGAAACAATATTAACACTTAGGTCTGTCTAAACACTACAACAACTTTCCCTTTGAATTACTACAAAAGTCCAAAATAACAGCTTCTGTCATTTACTATTCAATCTATAAAGATTTGCCAGTTTTAAGTCTGTTGTGATATTTCCTATTTGTTGTAAAGAAAAGATGTAAACAGCTATTCTAGACAATTCACAATTGTCTTAAAAAATGTACAAAGCTCCTTCATATTTGCAACTAAATTTTGATTAAACTTGTAAAAAACCCCACGGTTGGGACACAAACATCTCTTAAGGTAATTGTACACTGTATGAAATCAGCAAACTAAAGTTTACTAAAATCAGAACTCAGTCAGTCCTTTAATACAGCTGTATTGCTTGGAGATTGCAGTCTGGAAACCAAAGCTGCCTTTCCAGGTTAATTAATCAGAGGTCTTGCTTCTCCTGCCTTCCTTTCTATACATTCATTCATATATAAATAGCTTCCGTAAAGTGTATACTATACAATCAAGCCAGTCTCTGGCTTACCTCCTGGACTGGGAATAGCTGAGAACATTCATATCTTATCAATACAGACCTTGTTCACATGTTACATTGACATGAGCAGCACTGGTCCCTGGAAATTCACAGTTCATGGTGGACCAAATTTTAAAACTCAATCTGATCAACTCATTGTAGGAGAAAAAGGTGAAAAGTGGGATGGGGCACAGGCAGTTTTGCAGCCCTGTCTTGCAAAGGTAGAAGTTAATTTAGTTAGTAGTAGTAGGTAGAGTGAATCTCACTAAAAGCTATTTTCTTCCCTGTCCCTCTATGAAAAGCTCAACTGCTTCAGTAGGAGCAGTTCCAGTGGCAACCCCTATTCCTCTCCGAGATCTGGACTAGGAGAACCTTCTGCTTGTAAAAACTTGCTCCTCAGAAGTATGCTGGGGTTGCCTGGGTGTGGCAGCTAGGAATCCCTACTGAAAGGTCACCAGTGCCCAAGGGGAAAAGTTTGGCCTGTCTTCAGAAGCCAGTTTGGTTTGCACTGTGTTTTGTCCCACGAAGAGAGCACTGACGTGTAATATCAAAGGGTGAACAGAAGAAACAAGCGCACTTAACGCTATCTAAAAGTTCTACTATTCTATGTCTTGTCCCTTTTTAAGAAGGGTACTATTGCCAAGGCAGAAGCCTGTAACATGCTAGGAAATGCTTGTGTACCATTGTTTGGGAAAGGAAAAACTTCTCACCAACAAGAAACTCTTCTGGATCTTAGACAAGTCAAGATTTCTGTTCCTTAGGAGGAGATGATTTTTTTTTTTAAATAAGATCAAACTTCGTGCTGCCTCTGCTTTATTGAACAAGGTTGGGTGTGAACTAAGTTACAGCTGTGTCAAGGTCCTTAGTACTTCCTTCACTACTTAAAGTGGCATATCTAAACCTTCACAACCACTATATGCCTTTAAGTGCCATGAGCAGATTAAACATTTGGTGGCTCTAAAAGTCCCATGAAGCCAGCTATGAAGAACTAGGAAACTTTTTATGAATATTGTGTATACTGCTTGCAATAGCATGTTAGAGCAACCAAACAGGAAAGGCAAAACAATGACCTAGATAATGAGCATCCCAGCAAATGCTCAACCACACCTGCCAGATTATTAGTTGTACCCACCAGGTGCCAGCAAAGCTACAGAGATGTTTTTACCCCTCCCTTTTCAGCCTTAGTAAGACAGTAGCCAGTTGTAGGATTTGCCCCTAAGAAAGGGAAGGGGAGACAGGTTTGGCAGCAGACTGAAAAGGGCTGTGGAAATGCAAACGAACCCTCAGATTCAGGAGCAGGGGCTGGTATAAACTGGGCCTACCTAAGCTATGGTTAGAGAGGTTGACTCATACATATAGGCCTCTTAGGGCTTGGCTGCACTTGCACTTTATACCGCAATAAAGCCTCCTAGAGCTCTCTACCTTACTCCCTTGTCCACACTGGCAAGGCACATGGAGCGCTCCTGGTACTCCACTTCCACAAGAGGATTAACAGCTGTTGTGTGTTGGGTGAGACGCTGCAGCTCCAGTGTAATTGAGGAGTTAAGTGACAGCGCTTTTGATTGACCTCTGGAAACGTCCCATAATCCCATTAACTAAAGTGGCCTCTCTTGTCTTTGTTGTGAACTCTGAAAGGGCCACTTCCGCATTCCTCCCAAGCTCCGTTTGGGAGTGCCGGCTGCTTATCTGGTCCGAGAAAAAAACGAACACCTAATGTTTGCTTTGAGTGAGAGAGAGAGAGGTGGGGGAAGGAGTGGGTCTGAACTTACAAGACAGCATGCTGACAAGCTCTCAGCACCCCAAAAATCCACTCTCTCTCCCCCCACATACACACTCCATCCCCCCCCCCTCCATTTGAAAAGCACATTGCAGCCACTTGAAAGCTGGGATAGCTGCCCATAACGCACCACTCCCAATACAGCTGCAAGTGCTGCAAATGTGGCCACGCCAGTGCGCTTTCAGCTCTCAGTGTGGACAGACTGGAGCGCTTTCCCTAGTGCGCTCTCTGAAGCCTGGTTTAACCCAAAGTGTAGACAAGCCCTTACTAACCCTCTGTGCTATATACCTTCCGGGTGGATGAATGAGTGAAATGCTTTGTTTTGACAAAATTGTGTCACTGCAAGCTTATTCTGGGAGGAAATTGCCTTACAGATGCCCAATCAGGTTGGGCCTGTCAGATTTTTGTGGTTGGTAAACAGAGGGCCTGGAGCTCCCCGTCTAAAGACCATGTGGTTCCACCCAGAGCAGGAAACCAGGTTTGTCAGCCAAAGGGTGCAACCCTGAGAGACTGAAAGGGGTCTAAATTGCAGTTCACCAGCAAATTGCACATTTAAATGTCTGCCTAGAGGAGGTAAAGTAGCATTCCCCCAAAACAGCTGCCTTCATAGGAAGCAAGATGCTGATAACTACACCAGTATTCAAGTAGCTCCATAATCCTTTCAAAGATAGTGTCTCTAGCCAATACTAACAATTTACTTTAAGGTGGGGTGCAATTTTAATTGTAAAGACAGTGCCATTTAAAGACAATTTTCAACCAAATAGTAAGTCATTGAGTCTAGCTCAGTCTTCTACCTCTTTTTAAAACAACAAAAAACATCATCAAACTTTAAGTGAAGCACTTACTGCCAGTTTCTTCTCATCCTGGAATGTAGCTTAGCAGCAAAGGGCTCTTCTCCCTCACGGCTAGAGGTATGCCACACCAGATACAGAATTACAACTTCAAAGCTCTATCTTTAAAAAAATATTACTCGCAACTCTATTCATTACAAAACTTTAAAATATTGCTGGAAAGAAAAACCAGGGCATGATTAAGAGGTTTCCATTAAATCCAAACAGGTGGTGGTGATCTCCTGCTGCTGTCTACCCCCATAAAAGCATTACTCTCTCATTTTGAAAATCATGATTAACACCACAGTGGTCACCTTACAAATTTATGGATCATCTCCATGTAGAAAATTCCATTCACACACATTCTCTCTAAAAATACTTTAAAAAATATTACAATTAAAAAAACAACCTCTACCAAGTATGCCATAAGCTGCTATAGTGGATATGACAGGAGTATCTAGAAATAATATTTTCAGTGCTTTATTGGTAAAGTACATGGGGTGTTTTAAAACCAGCAGCTGTCATTATAGACCTGAATGCACCATCATCCAGAAGCTGAAAACTGCAGCCAGCTCTGGCCCTGGTGTTTCATTGCAGCATGGCAGTGAAGGAGCCAATGTACTACAGAACCTTAATTTATGTGGAGAGGGGAATGCCAGTGATCTGAGCATGTGCACTTTCCAAACAGTTTGACTCTGTTCCCACTGGTTGCTATAACCTACAGCTATGAGAAGTCTTGGACTGCCAGCCCAAATCAAGCTTACATGTCTAGAAAGGTGAGAGTGTCTGAGAGATGATTTTAAATTAAATTAAGATTATACACACCCTGCCCTGATTTGTGGGTAATGTGCTTAGCTTTAAATAGTACTGGAAAAAACATGATTTACAAACTTATTTAAAAATTAAACATAAATAAAAGTCTGACACTGAGAAATCAACTATTGCAAATGCTGCATAGCCTACCATATAGCATTCAGAGCCCAAACCCCTTAACCACACATTTCTATATACTTATTTAAATGGCATCTAGAAAGCAAAAATAGATAGGTAGCATTCAGTAGAAATGCAGTCTCTGAGGAGCAGGAAGGGGTAGTGCCCTGTCACAGTTCTCTTAAAGCTCTAGTATTCACAGTAAAATAGAGATGTGAAGCAACTTCCAGTATTCCTTAATCTAGCCCACTACTGAAATGTGTGAATATTACACCACAAAAAACCCCCACTATGTTCAAACAACATCAATGGACCAAAACCCATAAAAGCAAGGAAATGCAGAGTAAAGGTATAGAAACTCTGTTTTGTGCACCTGGGTAGCGTGACTTGGAGTTTTCTGGAAATATCTAGGGCCAATCGCAAGAGGAAAGTAGAAATACCACACAATGGCATCTAAGTAAACTGATTCTTCTGGCAGAAGGCCCCATCAATCACTGGGGTTTTCAAACAGCTGTTATTCTAAGGTGCAGTTTCTAAGATATGCCTGAGCGTGGCTTAAACCCAGTATATCTGATGAGGCTGAACGAATAAGAAGACTTAAGAACCAACCCTGTTTGTGAGGACCTATGGAGGCTATGCATGAGGGAATGCAAAACTGAAAACCTTTTTTTTAAAAAAACAAACATTCAGTACAGTGAGAAGTATGGCATACTGTGTTTTACAATATAAAAATATTCAAAAGGATCCACTATATTCTGGAAAATCCCAAGTAAATGTCAAAGCATAATTCCTAGTAAGTGATATGAATGTTCAGTTATTGACAGCAAATCTTGTAAATCTGTGGTCTTTGTGCTCCAGGTAGTTTCTCTGCAGTTTTTCCCCCACCGCTCTCTCCTCCCTTTCTGGTGTTCTCTCAGTCAGGGAGAAACATCTCCTAGAAAGACAAGGTTAGGGTGAGTTGCCAGCTTCCTATGGAAACACTCCCAGTGGCACCCAGTGAGGGGCATTTTAACACCACCAACTTCACAAGGTGCTTTCCCCCTTGTTCCCAGTACTCAGATCCTTAAAGCATTGACCATAATTTTCTACCGTGTTTCTAAAAGCCAAGCACCAAAAGATACACTGAGGCACCCTAAATAAGTGCCCTGATTTCTCAGAAGTCCCAAACACCCACAAATCCCAATGAAGAAGCCAATGAGAATTGTGCATGCTCAGCACTTTTGAAAAAGCAGAGTAACTTTATTTAGGAGCCTAAATATGAGACAGGTACTTGACTTTCGGCATGAAGGTTTGAAAGAGAGGCAGTCAATGGCATTTTCCTCCTCCCAAATTTGGCTTTTTAAAATTGTACTGTAGTGATCTCTCCACTGCTCCCCATATTCATCCTCTCTCCACCTCCCAAACTCTCATCCACACACTTTTTGTTTTGAATGGAACACACACGCACACACGTGGACTGTTTAATTACACCTTATCTACATGCTATCTGGCCAAAACATGTTGGTGCACCAATGTAACTGATGCTGAGCACGGCCCTAGGAATAAAATGTTTGCTAGACAATGCTGCTGCCTTTATGGATTCTTAAAGCAGCTACTATGGTTTCCAAACTACTAAGCTGAAAAGCTAGGTATTGAGGTCATAGCAGATCACAGCAACTTTAATTCAAGTTTTGGGGTCTTTTCTAGATTAGGAAAAGAAGCAGATTGACAAATGGCTCTCCTCTGCTTTAGTAGTAAACCTCTGGCTTCAGGGCTAGGGCTGGGATAGAGCCCATCTCATAACCCTCTTCATTCACTGCTGCAGATAACAGAGCCTAGGAGTGAAGGGGGAAGAAGCGCCTCCACTTCCAGACCTGAGGAGTGCAGCTCCCCATTGGATCCACCATTAAAATGTTACTGCACAACGTCCTCATCAAGTGATGTTGAACTCTGACCCTTTTCACAGCCACTGTAGCTCAAAGAACATGTGCTGGTCGGTGGCGGCGGAGTGGCTCGAGCAGACGCCGGGATGTGGTACGAGATCCTGCCCAGCACGGCCATCATGGGCCTGTGCCTGACCATCCCTGGCGTGTCGCTCATCCACATCCACAGATACCTCAACGGGGGCAAGGAAAAGAGAACTGCTCCTCAGCCCTACCAGTGGCACCTATGGAGAGAGACCGGCGACTGTCGGGGGTTAATGACTACTATCGGTCCAAGGGATTGGAGAACATTGACTAAGAAGCAACTCGTTGAGTGAAGAGGTCTAGTTCCTGTACAAAGTAGTTTAGCTCCAGTAAACATGCATTTATATTTGATGCAACGTGTTATATGGTGCACATAAATCTGGAAAATGAAAAAAGAAAAAGTAAAAACCACACCCATGTGCCACTGCAGCTAGCAGAGACACCACTGCTCCTTGTGCATACCACCATTTTAATATTGCTGAGAGGAGGGGAGGAGGCCCAGAAAGCACCTCCTCTTGACATTGTCAGACTGCTTCTTTTCCTCCTGCAGACAGACTCAAAGTTTCTAATTTTAGTCAAGGGGTAAACATCAGTCTGTGATCGCTTGTTCTTCTGCACTGCATGATGTTATCAAGACAGAAAGACTGGGGGGTGTGGGGGAGATAGTCATTACAGGTAAATATGCTGTAATGATGCTTTTTCTATATAGGGCTCTAGAATTATCCATGTCATCAAGCTTTTGTTTACATAAACAAGGGTAGGGGATTTCACCTGAGTTTGGCTATTATCAAAACAGAAAAATGATAGTACCTGGTTTTAATTAGGTTATGCTAATACAATAAAATTGGCAAAGTTGTGTTATTCATTCTGATTTCTCACAGCAAAGGCACACCAGGCTTGGACAGTCCTTGCATAGGAGACCTCTAGGGAAAAAGCCAGGAGCTGCAGGAAGTGGTGTTGGCAATTTAGTGAGTGGTGAGGTAGGGGTTCATATTTAACACCCTTGTCTTTTCCTTCTGAGCAAGTGCTAAACCAATGTCCAAGTAACATGGTGTTGGAGATACTGGATACAAAGTAAAATGGAGATCCTGATCATCCATAGTCATAGATGAAACTTCTTGCAAACATCTGAGCAATTGCCTTCCCTGAAAAGTTAACTCAGATTATACCTAAATTCTGCATCCGTCCACACTCACAAACGTCACTTGTAGCAGCATGAGTTGGCTGGCAAGACCAGAGCTGTAGGCTAAAGCCTGAGTAAGCATAACTAATCAGCTGCTAATACAGCCATGCTGCTGTAGTGTGGACACAGGACTGGCCAAATTCCAAGTTGATTAACGCCATTCCAGCCTATCCAAATTAACCTGTTGCTTCATTTGAAACAAATGTTGCTTATCGTTTCCTGTTCTAAGATGGTTGTAGTGTACACGCCCGCCTTCCTATTTTAAAAAAACATTGGTATCGTCATTCTGTCCCACAGACATTTTAGTCCAGTGTATTTCTACTTATGGATAACTAATGGGGTAGCTGCTGCCTGCCTGAATTTGGCGTTTGTTGAAATGATTTCTGCAATACAATCGTTCCTAAAATTCACACTGGCGGTTTTTCCCCTTTTTGTCACCCAAGATTTGAAGCCCTGCTGCCACAGCATCAGCCTGACATCTAATCAGCTGAAGGTAAAAGTAGTCTTACATACTACAAGCATTTTTTTGATCGGTGTTTTAAAAAACTAACGCAAAGATCCACAGACACAGCGTGCCAGTACACAAAGTGCTGTTCGGTGCACAGTCAACTACACGCTTTTCTCTCTGTACTAGTACTGACAGAGGTGATTCTTGGGGCTCCCAGCCAGTGAAGTTCCACTGCAGCGTAGGTCTGTAAGGCATTTTGATACTTGAAGTACTATGCAAATCAACATATCTGTGCATCTTCCACTTCTAGAGTTACAGGAAGTACCTTGCTAGATCACATTCAAAATACGGATATTCCAAGAGAAACCTAAAAGGCTCGGACAGATTTCTTCAAGGACTCGTGATGTCTGGTCCTCTCTGGCTGTAGGTGTTCCCTCCTCAAGTCAGCCTGTGAGTCAGAACACAGATTTCTACCTGCTTACCTAGCCTTGCTATTCTTCAGCAATCTCGGTCTCCTGGTGGACAACGACCTTGGTCACAGACATGTCCGGGTGCTGCTCTTTTGCTTCTTTGATGGCCTGCACGAGAACCTAAGAAAGAAACAGCTCTTCAGAGAAGCACTTTGGGCTGCATACAGCGGAACAGCTGAAAGTGAATTTCACTGCAGTCTCTCCCATGTCACCATACCAGACACTGGGTGAAATCCTGGCCTCACTGATGTCCACGGCAAAACTCCCGTTCATTTCAATGGAGCCAGGATTTCACCTAGCGGCTGCAGCCTTGAGCAGCAGGGGGAGGGCTGCTGGCCTGCCAACCACTCCCACCCAGAGCAGAGGGGAGCCAATCTGGAACAGCAGGGTGTGAGGGTGTAAAAAGCCTTAGGTCCAGGAAATTCCACTGCCAGCTGACTTCATTGTTGCTACCTTCCCACCTTACAAGGATAATAAAATTATTTTACGTATGAAGCCTACAGGGAATGCTTTTGCCATTTGCCTTCAGTTGAGTTGTTGGTCTAGAGTTGCACTAATTCACTGCACTTGCTCTCCACTAACCAATATGAATCACCATGTAACCGCCCTTGTTTCTTTCTCCAGCCATCAACCACCACTTTGTTTGCATGTTGTGTCCCTTTCCACTTTACTATGTCTTCCTTGTCTATGTAGTTTTGGAAGCTCTTCAGGGTGGATACCACGTCTTCATGCCATTGCACAACACAGCACAAAGAGCTGCCCCACTCCTATTGCTCTCTTGGCACCATTACAATACCAAGAGCAGCTGTATTGCCCATTTGCTGTAGCCGCCATCATCTTCACAGCATGTTAGAAAATTACATAAAAACTGGAATTCTTGGACTTACCCTTGTTACCTTTTGTAACCCTGCCTTGTTGCCTGTGTCCAGGAAATGAACAGTCTTACGTCACACCTTTATTAAACTGTCAGAAGACTACTTATCTCTGACAAAAATGAAGCAAATGAAGACACTTGAATCTCTCAGTCTAGAAAGAAACTAAGCAGAGAACTATATGTGGAAGTTGCAGTGCTTTCAAATCTTCCTGGAAGCAAGTGGCATTGCAGGGTGAATTCCCCACTTCTTTGGGGGGGAGGGGGGACGGGGAGAAGAGGCAGAAGTTCGGATGCATTAGAAATGTACAGTAAGTTACAGGGGGAGCACAAAGAAATAGAAGCTGCCAAAGTCAATCAGATTTTGATCCATCCAATCCATACACTTGGGAAAAACACATTTGCTTTACAAGAACCCAGTTGCCAAGTGAGTCCATTGTTACAGGCCTTTGCAATAAAGTTGTCAAGAATGAGAAAAATTAACAGATCAGAGACATTTGTAGAACAACAGAAAGTGTGACCGATGTCAGATTATTGGGAGAAAGTCTCAAATTTGTAAAGAACATTGGATATTAACTAGTAAAACTGGTTTCTCAAATAAAAACATTGGTGAACGGAAAAACTGAAGTTCATTTAAATAAAATGCACACTGAGGCATAAAGACAAAATCTGAATGAAAACAAATAGCAACCAGATTTGCTGCTGAAGATAGGTATTTGGGTCTCAAACTCTCAAAATCAGGTTCTACAACAGATTGGTTTGTGACAACTGGAACAAATTTCAATGCAGGAAGTATATTAAAGAATCACATCCCAGATCTCTGAAGATCGAAATGTAGTTGTTGATTATCTGCTGATTTAGGACTAAATGATTCCACCACAGTGGGACTATGGTTTTGTAGCATGTAAAATAAGAACCATAAATTGTACAGGAACAAATACTAGGTCAGGCTGAATGAGATTAGTTAAGTGGGATACTAGTGACAAGGGCATGACCGTCTTAGACCCATGAATGCTGGAAGCAGTCGTACAAATGGAAAAACCTCAACAGGATGGCCTCTCAGACATTCATGGGCATGTTAATTTTGAAAAGTTAGGGATGAATTTGCTTAGAGTGTGTTAACTTCTCCATTCAGAATGCTGTGTGAGAACTACACATAATGGGCCTTGAATAATTGGCAAGAAAGAATCATTTGGGAATTAAATCCAGAACCACCTGTATTGAAATATTTGGAAAGAGTCTAGGATCTCAGCTGATGCATGCTGACATGGTTTGGGGCTGTCCTTCTAAACAATAATTGCCCTGTGGCATGTGCTTCTAAAAACACTAATATACACCAGAACTGTGCTCTAATTAGTGCTGAGTGTCTGAAGTACATAGCATATTTTTCAATGCTATATAAATAATTACTTCAGTAGACACCAAAAAGGGCCTAAAAGCCAGCTTAATGCTCATGTGAAACCATAATATTATTATTATGGGAAAGGGAAAGTTCACAAGAGGAACAGTTTATTGGATCAGGTTTAGGCAGCAGCTCAGTGACTTTGAAAATTATATATATCTGTAATTTCTAGGAAAAGCTCATATCTCCAATTAGGAAGAGTTACCAGATTCCCAGTCAGGGTTCTGTTACTAGTTGGGTCCACTAAGTAACTTTTTCAGATATTTTGTTTTTATCACTGAGCTCTAACTGTTGGAGCATGTTGTCTATGTGGAAACAAGAGTTCTTCAAGAAGCAGAAAACAAGAATACCCAGCATAAGAGGGAAAGAGATCCATGAGCACTGTTTAACATGTTAAAGAATGCATCTGATCCTACACTGACACCGTCTTTCTCTGGTGACTTCTCCCTCCACAAACTAAATGAAGATTAGCTACACCAGGATGGTAGTGTGTGTGTTTTCTTTAAAAATACATCTGAGTTTCATACTAGCTCTCTCTAAACTTTCCTGAGCCTATTTAATTTAATAGTAAAAATGGCAACACTATAGTTTATACTTCTCTAACACCATTCAACAAAGGTTCTCAAAGCACTTTACAAACATTTAACCCTCAAGATCCCCTAGGAAGTGGGTATGTATTAAGCATTTTACAGACAGGCAAACCAAGAGAGAGTAGGATCTGTGACTTGTCAAAAGGTCACACGCAATTAGTATCAGAGCCCAGAACAGAACGTAGATAGCCAGATTCCAAGGTCAATATTCTAACCACTGGAAAACATTATGATCAGTAGCAAAGGCTGTTTGCTTCTAAACTTCAGTTGCTTTCAGCTTTGATACACTCGTATACACAAGCTTTCTATTCTAAATGTTTAGCTATTCAATCCAAATATCATTCAGGACATAAAAACAAAACAAATCCTTGCAAACGTACACACAGAGTCCCCTAAACTCTACAATGGTCATTGAAAATACAACAAGGGATGGATTACTAGTCTCTAAAGAAATGTTGGGCAGCAAGTGACTAAAAGAATGACTGAGCTATCTCATGCTTATTCTTCATCAGAGACTTTCATTGTCACATTTCCTCAGTTTAAAAAACAAACTTGTTTTGAATTGAAAAAAAGTCAGCAGCACACTCAAAGTTGAGCCCTTCTGCTTTGGACATTGCCATGTATAAAAACTTCTGGAAACAAAATTTTGTGCTAATATCTGGCAGAACAGAATTCAGCTTGCTCTGCCCCAGCTACAGTATGTCTCTGCAGAACTAAATGTCAGTTACAACTTGAAGACATACAACAGTAATAGGTAGCACCACAGGGACATCGGCAGTCACTTTTCTGACATTAAACAGTTTAAAATGAGAGACCTATGTCTGCAGCTGAAACACTGCAAATGAAAAATGTTACCTCTTCCACAGAGACAAGCAATTTTATTTCTAGCCCAGGCCAATTTCCCTAAGCTGCAACCTAAATGACTGGATTTACCACAAGTGAGGCCACTTGACTATCTAGTACAGAAATAATTTGCAGGTTAGAACAACTGATTAGTTCTTTGCAAAACTAAAATGGCTCTTGGCTGGGTAACACTAAAATCGCTCACCTGATCGTGGTCAATGTCTGCATCTCCTGTGATGACAATTCTTTTTTCAATTCTTGTCTCTGAAATTCCACCTTTTACAGTCTAGTATGAAAGAACATAGGTTACTAGTAGCCTACAGTGCAACAATGGCAAAGGATTACAAAGTGGATTGAGGTTGGCTTTCAAAGACAGAACTCAAACTAAAGTCACTTGCCAATTACCAAAACATTACTGGGAAACTAGCATAACTGGATCATAAACAGAGCGAGAGGACACAGAAAAAAATCTCACCTCAGTGTATGACAATATTCCCTTCTTCCAAACCAAACAAGCACATGTCAATAAAGAGTTTTTTAATAAATAAAAATATTAATCATTCCCGTCTTGTGGGCTGGAATGTTAATCATGTCAAAGGGACACTGTCAATGTAACATGTTCCATTATTACAGCTGAAAACCATTTTAAAAATCTAATTTGTATTTCACCACATAGAGTGTGCAGTCTCTGTTATGCGCTTCACTCAACATGGATAATGCACTCAGGCTGCTTAGTTTCACTTTGACTCCCAGGAACTAGCACAATAATATTAATTTTGTTCAGAGGAATGTTCAAATTCAAAAATTCCCAGCAACTCTGCATTGAAATAAGTAAAAAACAAAACAAGAGGCCCACAGCAATGCTGGCAGTTAGTATGTCCATGACAGTGTTAGTGAAGTATTTCAGGTTTTGTAAAACCTTTGATAAAAATGTGACATGGGTCTAGAACTAGGGGACATTCCTGTAACTTAGAAGTAAATTGAAGTCTTCAAACTCGTCCCTACTTTCTCAAATTGAGGATTTCTCACATGTAAGTTTGATTTGCCAACAGTCCCCAACTTCAGTCATTTGTAGCTCAAACTCTGCATTAATTAAAAGTTCTAAACAGGACTCAATCTTATTGACCGTACAGAAGAGGAAGAAGAACTCAAAGGCTAACTACATTTAAAATGAAAATAAGTATTTGGCTAACACACTGACAGGAGGTTCTCAGAAGTGCCTCAGGATCCCAAGCTATTGTTGGATCACTCAAACTGTGGTGGTACAGTTCTTCAGGAAGCAAGATAATGTCCATTTCCAAGTGATTCTGAATTGCACTGGTGTCGGGCAGAATTAAGGGCAGAGAAAGGGAAACACAGGATTGGAGGGGGGAAATATTTGTACAACTAAATATTTGGCAGGAACAGGCCAACTTTGCTTCCTGTGGCTTGAGCATCAATAGAACTTTTAGATTTCATACCAACCCTGCTGGCATCACCTTTTTACCTTTGTAATCTGTGTGGTGGTTGTGCTACTGGTGGTCTCTGATGTGATGGTCTGAGCAGTGAGCAGAACTCCAGGGTCTGAGTCCCCATTGCCATCGTCTGTCTAGAACACACACACAAAACCGCCATCAACCATTTTCACACCATCACCATGCAACAGGACCTCAGTGCTGTAATGTAAGATGATGTACAATCATTGCAAAAGTAGACTTTGCATTATTTATTGGACAAAGTGAACCGATTCACAGCTGGATGAATAATTAGCATTTTGGCGGTGTAACAAATGTTTCAAGACTAATGCGGTCTGAAAGTACAGCACTTAAAGAACCAAGGAGCCATGCTGCCGTCCAACAGAGCCACGATGAAATCAAGCAGAGAAGCCTTGACATCCATTAGGATGTCTGAGCTGTGATCTCACCCAAACACAGGGTGACTATTCTCCACTTCACACAGTGACTTGGTTCAGCTCTCCCCCTCTCGATTCTGGGATGATGAATGGGTCTTCTCTATCCTCCCTTTTCTCCTCTCCCATTCCAGTTGAATTGGGGTGCTGTGCTGGTAAGTTTACTTAGCACACACTGAACTGACTCACATGTTTCAGGCAGCATGGGTAGTGCTACATAGTTTACTCTCTAGTTGCTCTGCATTGTCACAAATTACTCCTACAGATTCCAGAGAAGCTAATTGACAAGGTCCCCACACCTATCACTCTCCCTGCTCTACCAATAATACCAGCCTTGTCCACACTGCCTTTTTGCATATACCACCTTCCCTGAAGTGGTCTATAAAGGCTATTACACTGCTCAAGTCTCACTTCTGTTGAGACTCCTATAAAAGAATCAGTTCAATTAAGATGGCTGAGGGCGCAAATGGGGTTAGTTGGCATTGTATCCATTTATCATTCTAAACAGGTTTGGAAGTTATTTTGGAATCCATCTCCCCCAAGCCCTTTGTACATCATTTGTCTTACAGCCTCTTCAGGGTTGTGCCCAGCACAGTGTAAAGACCCTGGATGCTACTATAACCTAAATAAACCATAAGTAACAACAACTGCGTACCACCACTTTAATTACTTGGCTCCCATCCTGTACAATTCTCAGGCTTTCCAAAGCCTATCTATTGCTCCAGAGTTTATTGTCCATGTCTCCAAATGACTGAATTAAAGATATACAGTGAGTAACAGCCTCTTTTGTCCAATTATTGTTACAGAACAGTCTATGAAATTGTAATGACAATTTAAGACAAGATTAAGGTGCCACAAGTACTCCTGTTCTTTTTTCGGATACAGACTAACACGGCTGCTACTCTGAAACCTATCTTCAGAGTGACCACTAGGTGGGACCACTTTCTGTGCTGTATAAAATTTCAACTCCCCCAGAGATCATCATTACTTTTTGGCCAAATCTCACCTAATGTCAAATAATTAGGTTACAGAATTCTCATTTCTCCTTTGAGACATTAGAGCTAGAGATGTAAAGATGGTGACTAGACTAAGCTTGATCAGTTAATCTCAGCCACAAATACTCTGAGCAATATGGGTTCAAACCTAACAATATAACCTGGATCTTACGCCCAGTACTGGTGCTGCAGTTTGGTTCTGGAGAGCATGTGACACTGTTAGAGTGCTCTACTTCAGATGGGATGTTAAACAATCAGTTGCTGATGATCTCTGGAAACAGAGAGTTTCCACAAGGATGACAGTATGCCAGATATGCATTAAACAAGTGGTCCATTGCACATACACCTCTTTGCAATAGGCAGTCACACTAACTCCATATTACAGATGGGGAAGCAGACACAAAGGCTAAGACAAATATTTTCAAATTTGGGTGCCATATTTAGGCACCCAAATATGTTACCTGATTTTCAGAGATACTAAATGATGCCTGTAAAGTGCAAAGCATTAAAGCCAGTCAGTGGCAAAACAGAATGCAGTTCTTGGTTATTCCTCTACCATTTAGCCTCTAAGTTGCAGACTTCCAAAAGTAAAAAATGGGTACTTACCTGTTCTGTAACTGTTCTTGGAGATGGGGGTGCAGACATGTATTCCACTCAGGTGTGCGCACACACAGCATACCAAAGTCAGAGAACCTTGCCTAGCAGTACCTGTAGGGGCAGCCCTTAGCCCCTTCACTTGGCTATTTAAGGGCAGTGCCTCTCCACCCCGAACATCAGTTCCTCTGACCCAAACATCAAAAATAGAGACCATGATAGAGAGGCGACAGAGGGTTGGTCATAGAACACACGCCTATGCTCACATCTTGAGAACAACAGTCACAGCACAGGAGATAACCAGTTGTTCTTCAAGTGGTTGCAGACAGACACATATTGGTCTCAGGTGACTCACAAACAGTACTTGGAGGTTGGTGCCTACTTAAACAATGACTGCAAGACTGCCTTCCCAAAGTTTGCATCTGACCTAGACACAGTGCTAATAGCATAATTCTTGGTAAAAGAGAAGATCAGGTACCAGTCCTGCAAACTCCCAACTATTGAAACATTACTGAAGAATGCTATCCATGTTTCTTGGGCCCTCATCAAATGGCCCATAATTTCCATGGAGACATGGTCTGAGCTACGTCATTGTATGCTGTTGTAAAGCAGGAAGTTATCCACCTGGAAATTGGCTGTGCAGAGACTGACCCTTCACTTGAACCTCATAGGAAACAAAAAGACAAGGCAACACCTGTGTAAAGGTTCCTTCCCCACTCTGAACTCTAGGGTACAGATGTGGGGACCTGCATGAAAGACCCCCTTGGCTTATTCTTACCAGCTTAGGTTAAACGCTGCCACCACCAAAGTGTCTAACAACAACAACAGGGGAAGTGCCCACCTGGAAACGTCTCCCCACCCCAAAATATCCCCCCAAGCACTACACCCCCTTTCCTGGAGAAGGCTTGATAAAAATCCTCACCAATTTGCATAGGTGAACACAGACCCAAACCCTTGGATCTTAAGAACAATGAAAAAGCAATCAGGTTCTTAAAAGAGAATTTTAATTAAAGAAAAAGTAAAAGAATCACCTCTGTAAAATCAGGATGGTAAATACCTTACAGGGTAATCAGATTCAAAACATAGAGAATCCCTCTAGGCAAAACCTTAAGTTACAAAAAGACATAAAAACAGGAATATACATTCCATTCAGCACAACTTATTTTATCAGCCATTTAAACAAAACAGAATCTAACGCATATCTAACTGGATTGCTTACTAACTCTTTACAGGAGTTCTGACCAGCATTCCTGTTCTGGTCCCGGCAAAAGCATCACACAGACAGAGAGAACCCTTTGTCCGTCCCCCCCCCCCCTCCCTTCCAGCTTTGAAAGTATCTTGTCTCCTTATTGGTCATTTTGGTCAGGTGCCAGCAAGGTTATCTTAGCTTCTTAACCTTTTACAGGTGAAAGGATTTTTCCTCTGGTCAGGAGGGATTAAAAGGTGTTTACCCTTCCCTTTATATTTATGACAACCTGAAAAGTCCATCATTGGAGTGCTCATTTACGAATTTACGTACCATGGCCCCCAAAGTCCCATTAAATTTCTCCACCAGGCCATTTGTTTGATGATGGTAAGGAGTGGCAACCAAGCGATTCACCCCATGAGCTTCCCAAAGGCTTTCCATAGTTCCTGCCAGGAAATTAGTTCCTGCATCTGTGAGGATGTCGGAGAGCCAACCTACCCTGGCAAAAATGTCTGCTAGTGCCTGGCACACACTTTTAGCCCTGGCGTTGCTTAGACCTACTGCTTTCGGCCATCGGGTGGCAAAATCCATGAAAGTCAGTATGTACTGCTTTCCTCTGGGTGTCTTTTTCGGAAAAGGACCCAGAATATCCACAGCTACTCGCTGAAATGGAACTTCAATGGTGGGGAGTGGCTGGAGAGGGGCTTTGACCTGGTCTTGGGGTTTTCCCACCCTTTGGCATACCTCACAAGACTGGACATAGGTAGAAACATCCTTGCCCATTCCCTCCCAGTGGAATGACCTCCCCAAACGGTCTTTGGTCCTGTTCACCCCAGCATGGCCACTAAGGTGATCGTGGGCTAAGCTGAAGAGCTTGGCCCGGTATTTAGTTGGAACTACCAACTGTCTCTGAGGATGCCAGTCTTCCTGGTGTCCACCAGAAAGAGTTTCTTTGTATAAAAGTCCTCTTTCTACAACAAACCTGGATCGATTAGAAGAGCTGAGAGGTGGTGGGTTGCTCCGGGCCGCCATCCAAGCTCTCTGGAGGCTTTCATCTGCTTCCTGTTCTGTCTAGAACTGTTCCCTTGATGCTGGAGACATCAGTTCCTCATTGGATTGTGGACCTAGGCTTGGTCTCTCTGGAAGCGAAGTAGGGGATGGGGCTGTTTCCGTTGACTGTGAACCGCTCTCCACTGGTGCACTATGTTGGGGTTCAGGCTCCGGCTGAGCCTCTTGTGTAGGGTTATGGGCTGCTGCCGGTTCAGGTTCGGTGGGGCCCTCCTGTGTTGGGGTGGCAAGTACTGGATTCACTGCTGGATCCAATGTTGAGCCCGTGAAGGGAGCAGAACCGATGGCACTTCCTGTTCTGCTTGGTGGCAAACAGGTCCACTTGGGGTATTTCCCACCTCCGGAAGATCATCCTTAGGGACCACTGTGGTGACGACGCTCTGTTCATGATCCTCCAAGCCTACCATCCCAGCATCTGCAGTGTGGGACAGGTGCCGGGGCTTGGGGTCCTGGTGCCGCCTATACGGGAACCAATGGCAGAACTCAGCAATGGTACACCTAGATGATCAACACCTAGAGCTCTGGGAACAGCGCCAAAAGTCCGGCGACCAAGACTGGGATGGCAGAGAACACCACCTCAACGCTGGGGATTGGTGCTGAGAGTCTGGCGATCTGTGTCTTGGCGCTGGGGACCTGTGTCGTGGTCCTGGGGTTTGGCGTTGTGGTCCCAGTGAACTTCGTTCCCCCGAGGAGCGATGCCCACGCTCCGGCGACCGGTGCCATGATTGCGGGGATTGGCGGCATGCTACGGCTCTGCGCCGGCCATTGGACGAGCGATGCCACGCCTTGTGGGACCGGTGCCGAGAGTCCGGTGAACAGTGCCAGGAACTCCAGTTGGTATGGGCAGGTTGGAAGCGCATCCCCAGGGAACACTGCTTCGACGTTGACTGCCATGGTGCTGGGGAGTGATGCTGCACGGATGGAGACCACTGCATGAGCCCCAGTGCCGACTTCATCTTGATAGGGCGTTTGTGGCACCAGTAAAGACATGATGTCTTCTGCAGCCTGGAAGACCTCGAGCATGGATGGGATCTCCGGGTGCCAGGGACCTCTGCAACTACCCGGGGTGGCTGCTGGGTCCCTAGGAAGGCTGGGTAGCCTAGCTGGTGATGCAGGTGGCTGGCTGGGCTCTGGAGATGTGCTGCCCCGCACGGGCTTATGATCTTCTCTGGACTTTCCCTTTCAGTACAGGATGTCAGGGAACACCCTCTCCTGGTGTGCTTCCTCACTTCTTAGCAGATACCAGGAACTGGGACCAGTGGCAGGAGGCCGGTGCCCACAGCACGCTTCAAACAGATGCCGCTGTGCTTGGTGCGGAGTCTGATCTTGGTGGCCCGGAGACTAGCACGAGGGCCGACTCCCTGAGGAGCGCTCTTAGTTTTATGTCTTGCTCCTTTTTAGTTTTTGGCTTGAAACTCTTGCAGATGCGACACTTATTGCTAATGTGGGTTTTCCCCAAACACTTCAAGCAGCTTTGATGAGGGTTGCTGATCATCATAGGCTTTTTGCAGCGATCACAAGGCTTGAAGCCCGGGGCATGCCCTGTCACTGGGCTAAGTCCCTTAAGGGACTATCTAACTTATCTACAGTACTATTATGTAACTATTAAAAGAACAAAAAGAACAACTTATCTGAGAACTATTTATACAATGAATGATAGGAAGAACCACTGGGTAAGCACTTGCCGAAGCAAGGAGATGTTCCAGCACAGTCTCTGACAGTAGGAAGGAGCTGAGGAAGGGGGAGCTGGTGATGCCCCTTATCCTGGCGCATATGTGCGCCACTCCAGAAGGCACCAGAGCCAGTCCCCTACGGATGCCACTGAGGGAAAAACTTCTGCACCAGTGCATGTGGCAAGCACACACACCTAACATAGAACAGACATGAGCAAGCACTCGAAGAAAAACTCAGGGTATATGCGTGGCTGCAACAGACACTGCTAGCCAAAAGACTCCAACCTCGGGCCCATGGGGCACATGCATACTATCAGTGGAATATGTATATGGACAAGCAGTTGAAAGAGAACCTTAATTCAGTCCCACATGTGTATGTATTATGATACAGCTTTTAATTAAATTATCACATTCCTGAAACCTGCGAAAAATACCTGGTGCAAGAAAGAATAATTCTTGCATTGCTAGAATCTACACTATGCCCATACCTTGAATAGTGCGCGCAGTTCTCGTCACCCCTATCTCAAAAAAGACATACTGGTATTGGAAAAGGTACAGAGAAGGGCAACAAAAATGATTAAGGGCATGGAACAGCTTCCATATGAGGAGAGATTAAAAAGACTGGGACGGTTCACAGCTTGGAAAAAAGATAACTAAGGGAGGATATGATAGAGGTCTATAAAATCATTAAAGGTGTGAAGAAAGTGAATAAGGAAGTGTATTTATTCCTTCACATAACAAAAGAACCAGGGATCACCCAATGAAATTAATAGGCAGCAGGTTAAAATAAATAAAAAGGAAATATTTCTTTACATAATGCACAGTAAACTTGTGGAACTCATTGCCAGGCGATGGGAAGGCCAATAATATAACGGGGTTCAAGAAAGAATTAGATAAGTTTATGGAGGATAGGTCCATCAACAGCTATTAGCCAAGATGATCCGGGTTGCAACCCCGTGCTCAGGCATCCCTAGCTTCTGATTGCCAGAAGCTGAGATTGGACAACGGGGGATGGATCACTCGATGACTGCTTGTTCTGTTCATCCCTACTGAAACACCTGGCATTAACCATTGTTGGAAGACAGGATACTGGTCTAGAGGGACCATTGGTCTGACCAAGTATGGCCATTCTAATGTTCTTATGCTGTCTCATTCGAAGGATTAATAAAAACTTTGCACTTACATAATGTTTCATTTAATTAAATCCTCTGTGAGTTAGGCAAAACATTTCTACCTGTGCCGCTTCGTAGGTGATAGTCTTGGTCTCTGTGTGAACAATGGGAACTTCTTTTGTTGGAATTTCACTTTTCACAGCATTGGACACGTCAGAGATGGTAACTGTCTGAGTCTTCACTAGGGGTGGCTATGAAAGAGGTTTAAAAAACACAACAACACGTAGCATAGTTACATACTGATGATGTTTCTGGTAAACGCTCTGACACTGATCTGATAAAAACATCACAGACTGAGAAACCAAGTCTCATCCTAGAAATCTTGAACATTTTAGCCCTACAAAGAGTTTGATACATGTTTTAGAGGATCAAGCATTGAACCAGCAAAGTCAAGTCTGAGGCTTAAAACACACAGTAAAATCTTCTCTGCTAACTGAGCTGTTCTCTCTTAAATTAGACCAAGAAAGTCATCAAGGGTTAAATAGTCAGATTTACTATGAATGTACTATACTGATTAGCTTCCGAATTATGGGATGAGGACCCCATAGAAAACTACCAGTCAGACCATGACTCTGTACTGAAATATCAAAATTGATGCTGTAGAGACTGGACAAATAAAAAGTTAATCATGGCTCACTGAAGCTTTATTCTGAATGCAAACAAAGCCATTTCCATTGTTAAAATACCCATCAATCTGTGGTTCACTGGCTTTTATTAAATCAATGTCAGATACAAGTCTTTAAAAGAAAAACAGTGTGTGTCTTGAAAGAGAAACTAGAAAAATCAGTTCTTCCACCACCTGGTAATTAATCAAAAGAGAAGATAATGTTAGCAAAAGACCCACAAGGTTTCCCCAGCTTGATCAGTTTCTGCTCACCTTCCCAATGTCTGCCAGTTGCCACCTTGATTATTAGTAAGTTAAGCGGTCATCTATTTTAACATAAATGATTGATATTCAGCAACACTGAAGCAGGCAAAAATCTCTGCCATGGTGATGGTGGGATTTGAAATCTCATGACAATTACAATGTAAACGTAGACTTTTGACAGAGCTACAATTTGCTGAGCTACATTAAGTTTCAGCCCTGAAGCATCTCCTTTAGCCTGGTTTCCAAATTTTCTGCAATATAGCAGTAAAACCACACCAAAACCTCATGATAACCACCTAATTCCGTGGAATAAAATTAAATGTGGTAGCCTTTGGAGTCTGCAAGTTTGATTTTACTTAGAACACAGGGCACTTGTGTCAAAGGAACACAAAGGCCATTTTTCATTGAGGCATGTCTGTCACTTTATGCAAGGCTAAACTGGAGGGGGCTCCGTTGCATGGACTTTGCAGGAGATTAACTGGCTGATCAGTTTGGGGAATGAATTCAGGCCATGTAAACATAATTCCTCATCACAGATTTGTTTGCTGCAGTGTTTAGGATTTCATTCCAAAAACCAAAAGGGAGATCTGAAAAAAAAGGAGGCATTCTGAGCTTACAGTTACTACCTGAAAACAGCGAATGAGTGTGGGAAGCCCATCATCAATATTCGAGTCGTGACACTCTCCATTTAGCTTTCTAAGTGGATCTCTTGTAAAATAATTTTCTTCAACATTCTCTGCCTCCTCCTCTCTCTGACAGGGATGCAGTGGAGGTGAAACAGAAATTGTAGGAGTCTCCACCTCAGACTGCTCATCTGTGTCATCTGTCTTTTTCACACCTGCATAACCCTTTTCACATGTTAGATCATCCTTGCTCGCAAGGATTACAGGAGCTCTCTCCTCCTCCTCTCTGCTTAGGGAGGAAGTGCCAAAGTCATGACTTTGTAAAGACTCTGGTGGAGTTGACATTTGGTTCTCACTAAAGGCTACTGAATACTTTGGGCCCTCCAATTCAAAGTCAGGGTTAGTACTTTTCCTCTCTGTCACTGCATCCACATCCGTTCTGGGGGGAAAGTCACACAGACTCTAAAAAGAAAAAAAATACACAAAAATGCCAGAGAAGGTTAGGAAGAATGTAGCTTCCTGAAGTATAAAGGAAAATAATGTCGGTCTCTAACTTACACTGTATTGAGGCTACTGCATTCTGTGCACAGCAACAGGTGGACTTTAAACAAACAAAAAAAAGCCTGAAAACTCTGTGTGTAATACACATTGCATCCAGCGGACATCCTAAACACAACCTTCCAAACGGACTAGTTATCCATGTGCTTTAGGGTTATGGAATAATAATAAACAGCTGCCTCTCCCTGGCACCTTGAGAAATCACAAGGCTGATTCTTGACTTAAACAGTCTTAGCCTAAATTAGGAAATAAAGGAGTAACTGCTGTATGGTGGATGGAGAATTCTGTGCACAACCAGAAATTGTAGGTATAAAGACACCCATCACTGCACTGAAATTATACTCCAAGTCCATTTCTTTTCCTTAAAATAACACTTTAGTGGAAATGAGGGGGGAGAAATGGGCACAAAACAACCATGAGCCACTGAAAGAGCATCATTGTCACTGGGAACTCAGACAGCCTGTGTTCAGCTGATTAGAACTCACACTGTGTAGCACCTTTGAAAGGTAACTGCAGGGGTCTTGTTATTGCAGCCCCTAGGACAGTGGTTCTCACCTATTTAAAACTGTGAGCCACATATGCAGCTCTCTGTGTTATGTGGGCCACGTCCACATAATATATATACTACCTGTATAGCCCTAAGGATGTCACATGGGCTGTAGCTTGTATGCTAATTGGGCTGCAAGTAGCCCTTGAATTGAAAACCATTGATCTAGGATAACTAATACAGACATTGTTGTAAAGGACATGATGCTGTTGATAATGTTATTGAAAGAAGTCAGTCCTGTAATCAACTGATTCAATTATCAAGAGGCTCCCAAACTGAAAGAAACCACTGGCTCACCCAGGAATTATGATGTATCCTTACTCAACATAAAGTAATCATTATTCTAGAGTAGACAACCAGATCAACTGACTTACACAAAAAATTAACATACTCCTTGTTTAGCTCAGGAATCGTGGAAGTAAGCTATAGCTCTACACTGGAAAACCAGATAGTCAAGCTAATGTCTACTGACCACATTGTGGTTGAATACGCAATTAGGTTTATTCCCAAAACAGATTAACAACTGCATATTGCAGTATGATTTGTCCAAAACTATTGAAACACATGTACCATACCTTGTTGTAATAGTAACAGTCTGAGCACAGAAACCCTTACAATACCAACCCTCATAAAGTTACAATATAATTAGTATTAGCAACAGTACATTGTAGAAAAGACATGTAATAAACCAATACAGCCTCCCTAGAAGAAAGCAAGTGTGTCTGTAGCACCTGAGGTACTTTGGAAGACTGTGCCAAGCCAGAGGATTTAACTAAGGCTGGAGCTATTCTGCCTTCCATTCTGCTCTTGTTAGCAAGTTCTCAACTAGGTCTTCTTACATCTCTGGGAGCCCTCTAGCCAGAACTTGAAGAAAAGGAACAGTGACAGAAGAGAAGACAAGAGTTAAAACACGCACAAGATAAAACTTGCACAAAATCATCTGTTTTCCCAAATGCCCAGTGAGTACAGGAAAAATATTTAATACACAAACTCATGTCAAACTCATAGAGGACTGGGTTCCATTTTAATTATGGGCTGTGACCCAAAGCTAGGGTCTTATCCTATCCTAGAGTCACAGCATTTCTTCCACTGACAATCTATTATTAGCATAAAAACAGAGGATACAATAAGCAGCCTTACATAGTAACTACAATTTTACTATAGTTATTAAGTTACAGATGCATTCAGTGTCACTCAATGAGGGCAGGGGAAAAGCCTCAAATGATGCAGCTCATTAGCTAATTCTTCTCTTTATTTAATTGGTAATTTGCATGGCTAGTTGTGGTAAATGTACACAAATAGGACATACAAATACATGTGCATATTGTATGCACAACTGCCTACCTCAACTTTTGGAAAATCTTGCCCTGCAAGTGTTACCATTAAGCCTCAAAAGTTACCATTAAGATGATCAGAAGACATCATCACATTGATTTACATTCAAAAGGTTTTCTTAGCAACCGCAAGAACTATAGTCTTTGATTTAAATTAAAGCTTGCATTCAGCGGAAGCTGCATATGCCATAGGGTCGAGACCAATGTATCAAGTGGGTCGGAAGTCTGACATCCCTGATTTAATGGCTCCCATTTGATGGGCCAGCACAAATCCGTTTTAGGAACTATGACTGCTTTTTATTTAAGGACAAGTTAACACTTATTGTCACTTTGTTGGTGTGAAATGATTGCTCAATTCTAGATCTCTACACTCTAATGTTATGGATAAGGTAAATCACAGGTTGCTACTTATTAATAATTTGTGTTTCCTGTAAATTCTTTGAATTTTAACTTGGGAAACACATTCAGAGGTGACTAAAAATAAGGACTACCAAGATAGATGATATGCATAAACTTATTTCTGATTGAAAATATTGCTTTTACATGTATCTATACACACACTTTAGTGATGCCAATTTTGAACTACTGTTTAATGTAAGTCAGTATATTGCAACTACCTTTCACATTTGGGGGGACAATGAAAATTGTCAGCTTTTTCTGCCCATGTGTTAATCTCATTTTAAGTGCTTGTTTGGCGTACTGTCAGCCTACCAAGTACAACTTTGTTATAAATGACAAAGTTTTGCAAACTAGGGGCCCGATCCTGGGTCTTCGGTAGGAATGGAATACACTCTAGAAGCACAATTTTCTTAAACATCAACTGTGAGATTAAGTTGAACAGCAGGAAAAAATGAAATCCCATGAAGAAAGCAACAGAGAAAAGAGAAAATTGGAACTGTGTTTAAGATCTTACAAGAACAGAAAAATATTTTGCAAGTAAATGTAACTTTCATTGTGAGTGTATATAAAAATACCAGCACTCAAAATGAAATCTACAATAAAGATAGATTGGTTTTCAATAAAGCAACATCCTGAAATAAACATCAACATGCAAACTAAAAAACTGGAACCAAATCATGATAAGATCAATTGACCAGAAGTGCTTTGTTCTTCCCTTCCTGTTCCACCAGTACACCAAGGGAGCCTAATTAAAAGCTATTTTTATCTATAAACAGATATAATTACCTATTTACACACATAGACTTTTTTATACAAATACGCCTGTGCTTGTTCCTGTTTAGAAATACTGTCTACATGCAGG